GACTGATGGACGCCGATCGTTGCGGGTTTGAAGCTTTAATAAATGGATTGTTGACTCTCACTTCTCAGCGCCCTTCGCCGCCTATGGAGCTTCTGACCCATTTTTCTTGCTATCTATGAAACTACTCCTTTTTATTTCCATTTTATTTTTCTCTCACAAATTTTGCATAAGTTTTTGCTTAAGAACATGTTATAATTGTATTAATAATATGGTTTGAATAAACATTATGTATCATTATGGGTTGTTGTTAAGAGTGTACATGGTTTGGGGTTGGAATAGATTTAGGAACTTTTTTGGATCAACCCAAAAGTTTGGGCTTGTTGAATTGGTAATCCAACTCAACCCTTTGTTTTTGGGTTGAGTTTGAGTCGTGAAACAATGGAGCACCGAGTGGAGAAGTCCAATGAGAAATATAGAGTGGAGAAGTCCAATAACAAACATAGAGTGGAGAAGTCCAATAACAAACATAGAGTGGAGAAGTCCGACAAAAGTGGAATAGAGAGCTGAGTGTAGAGACAGTTGGCAACGACGTCTGACGAGAAACACAGAGACAATCGAGCGGAGAAATATGAACTAAGAAGAGAGTCCAACGGAGAAATAAAGAAGCAAGCGACGTTGACGTCCAATGATACACAGAGACGAGACGAGAATGAGATGAGAACTGCAGAGTCGAATGATGACACACGCAAAGAGCCGAGAGGAGTCGAATGATGAACGACGAAGACAAACGCTGTGATATGATTTTGTGAGACTGCGAGTGTGAAAGTCAATATGTCGTTTTACTTACCCAGTTACCCTTGAAGTTGAAGATGAATGCTGCGTGAAACTGTGAGACGGTCTGCAAAGTGCAAACGCACCAGGGGTAGGGGTAGATACTGACAATGACTCATGGGCTTGGGCTGTGTGGGCTTTTGTTGCGTCAGCTTGAGTCTATTTTGGGTTGGGCCAAGTTGACCCAATAATTTAAAGTTCGAACCCGAACCCAACCTAAACCGGATCGGGTTCCAAAAAAACAAACCTAACCTAAACCCAATTCAACTCTTATAATTCAGGTTGAGCTCTCGAGTTAGCGAGTTGGATATAGACCCTTAATAGTTGCATCCCTTTAAAACGTTTAAACTTTTAAATGCAATTAGACCCTTAATAGTTGCATCCCTTTAAAACGTTTAAACTTTTAAATGCAATTGGGGCAAAGTAGTTTATTAACAAATGCTTAATAATAATTTTATAACTAATCAAGATGCGGAATGAGTGAACAAGACAATAACTAATCTACTTCACAATCAACCAAGACAATAAACGGTAGAGTTGTTAATCATACGGAATTTGGATGCAGGCTACATCATAGACAAAGGGAATATCGACCCTACTCTGTATGATGGAATCGATTATCTTCATCCATAGTATAAAAGATTTTTAAATTCATTCGAACCCAGACACAAGGGGGGTAGAGAATGGGAGAAGGCCTATGAAGTTGGGTTGATCGTGACCGTCGGTTTTGTAGGGGGACAAACAATCAGAGTCGTCCAGATAATGCCATCCTGTCATCCACTTTAGTTTAGGGTCACGTGTGGGGGCATAGATCTGGAGCTCCACTCAAGCAACTCCAAAACCTGTGGGCCAACCTTCGTCTTCCACTTTCTAGCTGGCATTCCACCTAATCCCTAGCTCCTATAATTTAATAATAGTCATAATATCACTCTTTTTCTTTTCCTACCACATTATCCTTCTTTTTCTTTTTTTAATACTATTAAATTATTCTAGTATCTAATAATAATTTCAAATTTCTACCCAACATTTAATTAAAAATTATTTGTGAAACTTCAAATTTGTAATTTAATTTTAATCGATAATAGAATAATGATTATCTAGATTAAAATAAAATGCATCGAATATTCATAAATTTAGTGACCAAAGCAAGAAAGGTATACAAGTTGTGGGAACAAAAAAAGATCAAATTTTTTACTTTTTAATTATTAAGAAACATTAATATAATCCACTAACAAAAGTTACACACAATTTTATTTTTAGTTTTGTGTTTAATTTCTATGTATTATATAATAACCATCTCAAATCATTTTTTAAATCCTAATCAAACTTTGTTTCTAATTAATTAATGTCTGTACATGAAATTAACAATAAAGATGAAACTAATGTTTTTTTTTTTTTTTTTTTTTTTTAAATTAAAATGAAATTACCTTAGAGCTGATCCTCGGAGTTTGGCTTGTGCAGAGCTAGAGCCCAGAGAAATGGCTGCAACCAAACAAACGAAACCTGATCTGTTGGGGAAGATGACACATGAGGAGGCAACATCTCTGAGCCACAAATTGCTTCCCCTTCCTTCCTTCCTTCCGTCCCTCCACCATTTTCGCTGCTCATAAACACCTGCAAATCCAAAACTGAAACCACCGCAGATCTCCAAAACCAGTATGATTTCTTTTAATTTACACCACACAGAGATGGAAATCGACGGAACGAATTACAGGAAGGAAAATTGGCTGCTGCTTTTTGTAGCCCAATTCATTCGAATCACCGTGTAAAAAGAGACCCAAAAGAAAAAAAAGGAAACCCGCAACATGAAAACAACTGTCACGGGGAAAAATCAATCGAATATTATACTACTGAATTAAATACAATGCTATACAACAACAACAACATAGAGTCGGGAAGAAATTCAGTACGCCGTTACCGGCGGCAACCGATCGGATTTCCTCACGATACCCTGGTGGAGATGAAAGATGCAACGGCGGTCCATTAGATTGCGGCGACATAGCTCCCACTGCATCCGGCGGTTGAGCACTGACCATAGTTTCATTCGCAGGCTTGATCGTCATCATCGGATTGTTCCCAAATATCTCCTTCGGCAATAGCACTTCCGAAACCCCAAAAATGGCGACCGGCTTCTGATCGAACACCGTCTGAGTCACCGATGCTTGAACAATTCCGGTATTGATTCCAACTGAGCCGTTAACTCGCGAAATGTTGAGTGTGAAGCTACCGGCGCCCATATCCTCCGTCGCTAAAGTGGGCTGAACAGGGTTCACAATCGATTCCAAAGACCCGAGAGGGTAATAAGAATGAAGCACATGAAATTTCAAGACAACGGCCTTCTTATCCGCTGGCAGCGACTGGAGCTTCACGGTGGGCGGAAGGTCGGAAAACGCGGAGTCAGTAGGAACGAAAAGCGTAATCCCAGCGCCGCCTTCATCGGCCTCAAACTCATCAACAACACCAGAAGCCAAAAGCATGGAGGCAGCAACATTAAAATTATGGCCATCAATCAAAGCCCTAGTGATATTCAAGCCCAAAGGCGGGCGAGTCTCTGACGCCATGAGATCAAATCCATAAGGGACAAGAAGGGCATTAACAGCAAAGATACTAACATTATAAGGAAGATTCTTAAGAAGCGTCAAAACAGTAGCATTAGAAGAGGAGAAAGGAACAGGGGAGTGAACAGAAACAAGACCATCGAGCGGGTCGCGAGTGATGTTGACGGAGCCGAAATCGCTAGTGGCACGGCCAGTGGTTTGAAAGAGAGTGGTGACGAGCTTGCCAGAAGGGGAGATCTGACGGAGGTCGGAAGGGGAGAGGTATTGGAGGAGGACATGGTAGCGGAGGACATCGGCAAGGGAGGATTGAGGGATGCGGTGAGTGAGATCGGAGGAGGCGGCGAGGTAGGAATTGGGGACGGCGAGGAGAGTGAGGGAGGTGAGTTGATTGAGATCTGAGAGGATGGAGGCAGAGAGAAGGGCGGCGAAATCGGAGAGGTCGGGGAAGGAGGAGAGGAGGGAGGAGATGTCTAGGGCAAGGAGAGGGGAAGGGGAGGAGGAGGAGAGGAGGAGGAGGAGGAAAAAGAGGGAAGGGATAGGGGTAAAATGGGAAATGCGAGTGCCCATTTCTCTGGTGTGAAGGAAT